TGATGATCAGCGGGGGGAGCAGACACGATGGGATGATGATCAGCGGGGGGAGCAGACACGATGGGATGATGATCAGCGGGGGGAGCAGACACGATGGGATGATGATCAGCGGGGGGAGCAGACGCGATGGGATGATGATCAGCGGGGGGAGCAGACACGATATGATGATGATCAGCGGGGGGAGCAGACACGATGGGATGATGATCAGCGGGGGAAGCAGACACGATGGGATGATGATCACTCACCGCTGTGGCAATGAGGTCCTCCAGAGGCTGAATCCTGGCAGACGCGATGCTGTTCGTCGCTTCCACCACTTTCTCTCGGCCTTGGTTTATAAGATCCTGCAATGAGAAGGTGACAGGACGCGGCATGAGGCGACGCTCGTTGTCATGGATACGGCAATATCACCTTGTAAGATCTGGTGGATGGGCCCCGCCGGCATGTATGGGGACATTTGCATTCTATTACTTACTTCCAGTTGCTGATTATTCAGTGAAGACAACGCTCCGAGGTTTAGGGGCATATAAGGAGATTGAGCCGCGCCGAAATTGATCTGAGCGTAATTAATCCCGGCTACAACCCCGGTGTTAAGGCGATTGGTCAATCCCTGCGAAGAGAAGAGAAGCATTGCAAGTCACAACACAAACACGGAGCCCCCGTTTAGATGCGCGGAGCCCCCCTGTTTACAGGCCCGGAGCCCCCCTGTTTACAGGCGCGGAGCCCCCCTGTTTACAGGGGCGAGCCCCCGTTTACAGGCGCGGAGCCCCCGTTTAGATGCGCGGAGCCCTCGTTTACAGGCGCGAGCCCCAGTTTACAGGCGCGAGCCCCCGTTTACAGGCGCGGAGCCCCCGTTTAGATGCATGCTATGTGACTTACTAATATACTGATTGTAAATGGTTAGCTGACCTGTACGCGGCTTGTGATGCAGACCGTGTGGGTATTGCAGTTCAGAATCGGGGATCAGCTGTGCTGTGAGAGAGTGTAGGGACTGCAATTCCCCGGAGGCTGTATGTCTGGAGAGGAGGGGGATGTGTCTGGAGAGGAGGGGGATGTATGTCTGGAGAGGAGGGGG